ATGCGCTGCACGCGAAGTTTACACGCGCAACGCGCTGCTTGGTGGCTTATGCGGGGACCGTAAAGAGAGAAACTCCGTTAGCGCACGCGCAGACGATTCTCTCCTCCTCCTCCTCCTCCTCGGTGTCCCAGTTACACACATTGTAGCGCGACCGTGACCTTCCCAGGAGGCGTGACGGTTCCTCTCCGATTCATTTGCGTGCGCTCCTGCTGCCGCCGCCGCCGCACCTATACCGTCTTACGTGAAACTGTTCACTCTTTTTTTTCCCTCGCTTTTTCTTACGTTCGTACGGACGTACACAATCGTACGTACGTACGCATTCACGCGCTGCGAATCTTTTCCTCTCTCACCGCACGTCTCTTTTTTTTCTCAAGCTCGGCTGCCGCATTCTTATGGGGCTTTTCTGAGTTCGCACGGGGGAGCATTCCAGAACGCGCGTCGCACTCGCTGTGCCTTCGTACGCCGGTCGTTTCGATTTTTCTTTGTGTTCTCTTTCGGGACGAGCCGTGCGGCCCCCCTCCTGTTTTCTTGTTTTATTTTAGTTTATGCGTAGCGGTTTCGCCTGCTTCTGCGCTGTTATTTACTCGTGTAGTTGTTTTGTTTTTATTTTTTTCTTTGGTTTCGCTGCTGCTATGTCTTGTACGGTGAGAGCGTGGAGTATTCGTCCTACGTGAACGACGACATTGCGCAACCCTTTTCTTTTTTTTTCTCCGACACGCTTTTTCTTGCGGTCGCAGCGTCTCGCGGTTTCCTTTCGATTTTTTTGTATATTGTTGATTCCTGCAGTATTTACTTCCAGTGCCTCACGCCGTGCGTATACTAGACCGCGTGCTTGTGAAGTGCCTCTGCTGCGCGAAGTGCCTGAACTTCACGGCGACTACGACTACGACGACGATTTTATATACCGTTGCTGATTGATGATGCTTTTCATGCTGCTGCCATACGCAGTCTAGTAGACTGCTGATTAATCGGATCTTTATATATATATATATATATATATATATATATATATATATATATATATATATATATAATGTGTGTGTGTGTGACTGCGCAAGGTTGCTCATTGTGCGTTTGTGCTGCCGGCTCTATGTGATGTAGTTAGCACCCCAGCCAGAACACTTGAGAAGTATGCATTGGCCATTCGTCACATATGTATAGCGCTCGTAGAGATGTCCGCCGTTCTACGATCGAATTATAGTGAGTTGTTGTAACGTTTCCGCTAACGAACTGTCCTCGGCGTATAGCCGGCAAACCCGGCACCCGCAAACATTAAGTTCATTTAACAGACTAAAACTATCTTCTGTTCCACTGGTGTTACAGAACTGACGGCTGATCCGAAGGTCGCGGGATCGAATCCCACGTGCGTAGATTTTAGGTGCACTCTAAGTAGTCCGGGTGATCGAAAATTCCCGCGGAGCCTTTCACTATGGCGCCTCTTGTAATCGTACCGTGCCCCTCCGCGGTGGTCTAGTAGCTGAGGTACTCGGCTGCTGACCCGCAGGTCGCGGGATCGAATCCCGGCTGTGGCGGCTGCATTTTCGATGGAGGCGGAAATGTTGAAGGCCCGTGTGCTCAGATTTGGGTGCACGTTAAAGAAACTCAGGTGGTCGAAATTTCCGGAGCCCTACCACTACGGCGTCTCTCATAATTATATGCTGGTTTTGGGACGTTGAACCCCACAAATCATCAATCAGTCAATCAGTAATCATGAAACGTTACTACAACGACAGGAGAAGTTGGGAGGAGGGGATGGTGAAATGATGAGAAGTTGAAAACGAAGACGTTTTCGCGGAGGCCAGTGTTTCGACAAGACGACTCGTCTTCATCAGGACTATACTTGTACCTTGTGGGCAGGAGACGTGGTAGCGTTTGAGCAAGAGCTGCGGCTTTTTCTTTGAGTATACAATGGGCAGTCGGAGTACTACATGCATCTTTGCTGTTCCGTTGATGGCCTCGCGCTTTCCTCCTGCCTGCTTTGTTTTTGTTTGTTTGTTCTTCTATTCGCCTTCCGTGGTTGGATTGACCCGATTGCAACACGGTGCGCTGCTCGCTTTGTATTCAATCAATCAATCAATCAGTTTATTATCATGTCATAAAAGGATGTTACAGGGAGTAAAATATACAAAAGAGAGCGATTTCGTGTTCGATCCGCGTTATTGTGGCCCGGCGGAGAATGGCTACCGGCGTGCGTAAAATAAGTAACTATATGAAAACGAGACGCAGCGAAATATAAACAAACAGATAAATATTGCTTTGCCACGCGTGGTGCAATGGCTGATATGAAAAGGAAGTACGCCGCCATCGATATATAAGCGAATCCCCCTCCTCCCCCACGCGGACACTTTTTCCGTGGATGCGGTTTCATGTTGTTTCCGGTGTACGGGTGCTCGTTGTATACCGCGTTTTTTCGGACCTAAGCACCCTTGCCAAGCGCACAGCCTGTTTGCGATTCGGCTTTTGCCGCTTAGGGTTTTTGCGCGTGGATGACGCCTGCCGTAGTCTTGGTGACCTTTGGCTGGCCGCAAAGGCGAAACGGTGTAGAAAACGAAAAGTATGGAGTTTTTTTCATTTCATTTATTGTACCCTCAGGGCTTTACAGCATTGCAGAGGGGAGCGGGCACTGACGAACAATGTTAAAGAAAAGAATACATAGAGAATACACTAGAACATTATTAAACACTGGAAAGCAACTATTATCAACTGGAACTATGTTATACAGCCAGTAGATTATACAAGAAAACTAACTACAAAATCAAACGTTTACATTTCCAACACCACATTTTGTGGTGTGTGCGTGCTCTATACGTAGTGAAGTAGCATTATTCAAGGTATACCGTGCTGTAACATGTAATCAATCGAATGCTTTGAAGAGGTAATTGATGCCAAGTCCGGGTATAAATTTGTGCCAAATATTAGGATGAAATGCTGTGTCAGTGCGAATTATGAGGTGTAATTAATGAGTCGCTTATAACAGTTACTGCTGCCGTTTTACGTCCGAAAACCACGATGTGTGTACGGAAGACGCGGTTGAAGAGGCCTTTGTCAATTTTCATCATCAGGTGTTTGTTAACGTTACAGGTAAAAATTCAAATGCGCGGGCCTCCTTAAATTTCGCTTCCGTCGTAATGCGGCCAGTGTGACGGTTGCGCTACGGTTTGATTCGGCTCTGTTAATAGTGAGACCTCATTAATACGTTCTCGGGCGTGGTAAAAAGTGCAGTCCAAGAAAACGTAAAATATCCACTAAGACATCGCGCGGTTTCACTTGATAACAATATTGCAAACGTTGGCACAGGAAATTCTACGAAATCGAAATGTTCTAAGTTAGAACATTTCAAGATAATAGATAGATAGATAGATAGATAGATAGATAGATAGATAGATAGATAGATAGATAGATAGATAGATAGATAGATAGATAGATAGATAGATAGATAGTGTGATCCCTACTATGATGCATATTGGTACTGTAAGCGAACTATCCAGTGATCAGTCAGCCTTTTGTGTGCCTCTCCGCTTAAATTCGACGCGAGGTGGTATGTTTGCTTCTTTGCTGTCTTTCTTAATGCCCCGCAGTCTTGGTTGAGCCGGCGTCTCTCCTCCGAAAAGGCTGTAGTTGTAGATGGCCGCGGCGTGGTGCATCCGAGAAAGCCCACACGTTCCCGCCGGACTCGGCTTCGATCAATTTCTGCTTCCTGGCTTACTTTTCTTTCCCGCTGCCTAAAACTCCGGGGCATTGCTTGGAATACGATATGAGAATACGCCTTCTCCTCTCGTCCTTCATTCCCTTCTTATATATCGTCTCTGTTCCGTCAAGCTTGGCCTGTCGTTCGTTATAGGTTGGCTTGCGTGGGGATTGATTTGTTCAAGAGCACATCTACGACACGCACGCACGAATTCTTAAATGCCACAAGCGTTGAAACTTGCGCGGACATACGTAGCCACAGTTTTGAAGGACGAACTGACACGCACGCACACACACACGCACACACACACACGCACGCACACACATGCCGAATGTGCAAAACGTTGAAACGACTCGCACACAGGTATAGACACATATCCAAGGTGCTGAAAAACAGATGCACGCACACACACACACACACATGTCCAAAGTGTTTAAAATGCACGTACGCAAGCGTTGAAGCCCGCAGATACTTGCACATACCCAAAATGTCGATAAGGACACACACTCACACACACCTACCCGAAGCGCTGGACACACGGGCACTACCATGCGCACCGAATGCATTGAAGGGCGCAATCTTGCATATACATAGCTTTGAAGGACACTGACACATATACACTTAAAAGGCTACTACCACTTTTTTTTTTGCAGGTGAATTTGCTTCGTCATACAAATCTCCTGCATACAGAGACGGCTCTCAGCAACTTGGAGGCTCAGCAAAATCTGACATGATATTCGTTTCTAATATTAGTCATTTTTTCCTAGGCGTACCCACCGACATCGACACTAGCTTGATGTCAGGCTCCGCTACTAGTCCTGGTGACTTCACGCTGCAGTTTAACTAGTTCAGATGACATCGGGTACCGAAACTTCCAGAACGGCCGACGAGGAACGTGCGAAAGCGCGCGAGATCCGTGCGTGGCCTCCGAGCTTACCGCGTCGCTTCGATCTCTGAGCTCGTTCGCGCCTAGGCGGCGCTCTTGTTTAGCCTGAGCTTCGGTTTCGTTATCGGGCGCTGTGGTTTTGCCTATCTCCCGACCGCGGCGCGACCGTCGCTAGGGTGTAGCTGGGGCGTTGCCGTAGCCGGCCAAAGCCGCGTATCCGCGGCGCTAGCTGCCGCTGCGCGCGCTTAACGTGCGCTGCGCATGTGCCGCCCTCTATGCGGCGCCCGCAGAGTCCTTGCTGCGGTTGAGAGAGAGGAGGAAGAGCGCATCGCGTTTCTTCTCTCTTTCTCACCCCAACAACCTCCTCGCGCATTTCGGAGGCGTTGCTTTTTTTTTTCCCCGACTTCATTTCATCGGCGGTGCGTATCTAGCGGGCTCTGCTTGCTGCTGCTATCCGATCGACTGACTGCCTTCAGAACAAGCAGGCTGTGCGCGCCGTGTGGTACCGTTGCGGTGTGGTGTCAAGTGCCGCTGCCTTCGCTTAGCCGCTAGCGACGAGTTACTGCTTGACCACTCTTTTGTTTCTCTATTGGATCGGTTGCCCCCCCTCAGTCTCTTCGAGTGCAAAACCCTCCTCCTCAGCGGCTGCTGCGAAGGAAACGAAGCGTCGGAATTCCGTTCCCCTTCGATCACGAAGACGGCCGTGTCTGTTTCGAGTGCTTGTGCGTTGGTTTGCCCTTGCGTGTGTGCGTGCGGGCGCGCTGAAGTTTCCCGTCGCATCAGCGCGCACTTCCGATCCTTAAAGGAGACGACAGCATCGTGGGGAGGAGCTGCCAACCGCTACGTTGTCTTCATCTCGATTCGGCTGGTGGCGATTTCCCCGTGTGTTTCCCGATTTCTGTTCCTTTCAAAACGAGAAATGACCAATGGCGCCTTCGCCTCGCGCTTCGGCGTATCCGACGGCAGCGTGCCGCCGTTCTTCGTCGGAGACCGCCGCCGATGCTAGCGCTGACCGCTGGCCGAAGGCGGCGACCCTGAGGCGGACGTTTGGAGCTGAAGACAGCGTTGTCGTCGTCGTCTGCGACTCCGGCGTCGTCGTCGTAGCGTTGCCAGCCTTCGCCGCCGACGCTCTGAGATGGGCGAACGCCGCGCTAAGACGGTGTCGAGGAGCCGCAGTGCCTTTAGCCTACGAGGTAATCACGTGAAAGTCTCTTTTCGTCTCTTAACTTTGCGGTGCTACACTGTTAAAGGGAGCACACGAAGTTTCGTCACCGTTACCGAATGTACTAGCGCTGAGGTGTTGCGGGAGTGCGTAGGCGAAGTTTTGCATGCGAAGGAATGTCTGCTCACATTAAATGTGCACTAATTGTTCAGTTGCGTCGATTTTAGTTACGGCTGACTGTCACCGTATGGAGTGCACCCGCCGTAGTAGCTTGCACGTACGGTCTCGCCCTGCCGAGCTCGAGGTCGCGGGTTTGACTCCCGGCACCGTCTCATTTCGATGGGGGCTAGATGCCGGAGAACGTCGGTGTACTTAGATGTAGGTGAACTTTAAAGGACACTAGGGGGCCGAAATTTAAGCCGGAGCTCTACACTGCTTTGTCCCTCTAATGTAATTTTAGGCTGTTAACCTCTAGCAATCATTTTATCGCCTTCGGAGTGTACATCACTTTCCACTCGTGCGTCTGCTGTGCTCGTTAACCATAATGTCACGCTAATGTCAAGGTCAGCGGTGGCACGCCAGACTTGTTGCCGCTGTGAGACTAGGTGGCGAGTGCTTGCGTCTGTGGTGTCCGGCGATTGGGTTGCCTTGGCCGGCGATGAATCGCCCGAGTTAAACGTGAGTCATCTCGCGCGTTCCGCGAAGAGCGCTGAACCCTTCGATGGATGGAGAGTGGTAAGGTGTCTTGGGTTATTCCCACTGTTTATTCCCGCGTTCGTCTTTTGTTGTCCGTGGTAGGTGGCGTTCGCACGCGATGCTATACTTCGCTACAGCGTAATTAACACAAGCTCCGCCCACTCTTCTGTCTAAAAATAATTTGCATGGGCATTTCAGCCAATCACATTTATCTTGTGTTTCAGATTGCTAATTTACCCGTGCAGACACACGTTTGTGTCGCTTGTTTTAAGTCGAGAGATTGAAAGTGCTGCGTCAGTGCACTGCATCGCCAAAGGCCGATTACCGCGCGTGGGGCCATAAACTGGTTCGTGAGATCATGATAGTGATGTACGTTAACAACAAAAAAAGTGTTCATCCTGGTTTGATTGCGAAGGCACTGGTTATGTTGGCCGGTGTATTGCAGGGTAATTGAAATCGCCACCTATTATTAAGAGGCAGTCCAGAAACCTTTTAGTAGCCAGCTCAAGTGCTTCGTTGAATATTTCAGTGAAATTCGGACGGCAGTGTGGCCGACAGCAGACACCGAAAACACTCCTCAAATGACCGAATTTAAGCGAGACACAGAGGGCCTCTAGAGGAGGGTAGACTACAATGATAGACGGCTCATAGTTATCCCTAAAGGAACACTAAAGTCAACTATTAGGTCGACGATGATTGTTGAAATGGTGGTCCAGAAGCCATTTTAGTGCTCCGCGACGGGTTAACGCACTTCAAATTACACGCCTCAAGAAGCGGACCCACTCACGTCACTGTTGCCATGCGCAACGTCGCTCGGCTTTACCGCGCTAGTAGCAGCAGTAGCAACGGCACGGCCATTGATCAATTTCCCGCCATCGGCTTGGAGATTGCAGACGCTTTTGTTCCAACTGCGCCCCGCTAGATGGCACCACCTGTCCCGTGTAACCACGCGAAAATCGAATTTTTGAACCACTCGTGCCGTTCCCCATAGTAACGTCCGGCGGTTCTTTTTTCCATGAATCAAACGGAAACGAACAAGCATTTTATTGCGTCTCCTAATGCATGGAACGTTCTTTACTTAGTGCAGTTTGACTACTTGTGATTAATTGTAGGCGGTCCGTCTGATGTCATCGGGATCATTTTAAAAATGTCCTACTGTGGCGCTTGTGTTCTTGTGCATTTACTTCATTTCTCGCTAAGTAGGGCACTGTTCTTGATAATATTGTTGCTTTAGATGTTGTCATACATTGAACTTTCACTCTGACGTGAATTGTTATTTACTTTAGTGTCTCTCTAACTGCTGTGAGAACACCGCCGCCGCCAGATGAAAACAGTCCTATGGTCACTACTGTGGATATCATCAGAAAGCCATGTGTTTCGTGCCAAGAATAATATCTGATGAAAGTAGAATGAATGATCGCTTTCAGTAGTGAGTCAAGTCTCGGAAAAGTACTGCGAAAGTTGGCCAAGAGCAGCGATATGGGGCTTGCATTAGTCTGCTCGTGGTGTGTATCTCAGCGTCTATATAGCTGCCGATTGCGGTGAAACCTGTTTCTCTCCAGACAAACAGCATTTTTTTTTTTTCGCGGGCAGTGCGAACAGCTGGCGAGGGCAAGGGCGTTTGCCTCTCCTCACAAGGTCACACTAATAACAATTTTTCACGTGCACACATTCGCTTTCGGTAGCCACAAAAATTATTCTGATATACACTCTAAAAAAAAAAGAGCGAGTAAAAAAAGGTGTCTTTTTGTCCCACAACAATAATCGTCATCTATATTGCGTTCCATCCTTGCGCTATCGTCCCGCGCCCGGTATACATTCCGGTCACGATCGACATGCCTATTATCAGGCTTACATTGCATTCTCGATATAGGAAAAGTGGCCAGCGCCGAGTTTTCAAGAAAGGAAGCGCACGCAAGCCTGATGACGATTATTGTTGTGGGACAAAAAGACACCCTTTTTACTCGATATTTTTTTTAGAGTGTAGTTGGTGGTAGTGGCGTGGAGGCGATACACTTTTCGTGTCATCTTGCTGACAAAGCGTGCCATCGCGGAAAATTTTGCGCACGTCACGCGAAGACACAGCGATGAACTTTGCACGGACCAGCGCAGTTTAACGTGTGACCTATCCCATAAAAGAACACACACACACATGTGTATAATGTGACGGACGCGTGGCTCACACATGCACCTTGAAGACGCATGTGTTGGTAATGCTTCCATCGCATTGTATGCTGATGAAATTAAATGCTTAATACGATGTGATTGTGCATCGGTTTTCCTATTGGTTTTATTGTCCGCTGTGCCCATGCGCTATGATTGAGCCGCGGGTAGGAGGTTTATGTGCAGTCTGTTTCATACATAGGGGAAATCTTGGGAGTGCATGGCATCGCGATGCGGCCAGCGCTGCAGTTCGCGCGCCGGCAGCAGTTTGCGCATGCGCAGGTGCTTTGAGGAGCGTGCTATTGAACCGCATCTTCTGCGACGGCTGTGCGCGCTGCCCCCATTGTCTGGCAGGCAGCATGCCGATCTCGTCGTTGATGCGGGAACTAGGCTGATGTTCTGTACTAAACGTTGTGCGATGCCAACTTTTCAAAAGCCTTCGTTGGCGATAATTGGCTTCTAGAAACATTTAAGGCAGCATACCTTGTTTGCTCTTTCGAAACGCCGTGGGGCTGTGTGAGTTCACGTACGTTTTTCTTTTTCTTTGCGTGTCAACCGCAGTACTCTTCGATGGGGAACGCAATAACGACCGATTGATATGTGGGGGTTAACGTCCCAAAACCACGATATGATTATGAGAGACGCCGTAGTGGATGGCTCCCGAAATTTCGACCACTTGGGGTTCTTCAACGTGCACCCAAATGTGAGCATACGGCCCTCCTACATTTCCGCCTCTACCGGAAATGCAGCCGCCGCAGCCGGGGTTCGATCCCGTGACCTGCGGGTCAGCAGCCGAGTATACTCAGCCACTAAACCACCGTGGCAAGGCGAACACAATAATGAGCACGTACCGTTCGTGGAATTTATTTCACGCCCCACCCCCACCCCCCCCAAAAAAGAAAGAAGACAAATATTCTTCAGTGACTGGCTGTCCTGCAGCCGTGCGGATTCAACACAATAAAACAAATGAGAATGATAAGTCAAGGAATGCTGTAGGGTATGATAATGACCTGAACGTGCTTTTTTCTCAATGCCATTTCTGCACTTGAGGGAGCGCTTACTCGGCGGCGCCGAAATGCACGCGTGAAGCTTCCAACTTCACTTGTCATGCCCTTGTCATGCCCTTGTCATGTCACTTGTCATGACTTCACTTCCAAACCATGTCATGCCCCAGTGCCAGCAATGACAGCGCTCATTTTGGGACGGCAGTGAGGCGTACTGTGACACGATCAGAAAAGTTGGCCCCGTGCCTGCATGCTTCACTGCAAATGTCGTCGAAACACGAGTCTTAATTGCGTCTGGAGAGAGTGAATAAAATGTTTATTTCCTGTTCTGCGCGAGAAAAATCGGTGAATTGTATTCTGGGGGCGCGGCGCTAGAGTGCCTTTATCCGTGCAGGGATGACGAACGAGCGCGTCAAGGCACGTGAGACACGAGCGCTATCTGGCAGTCATCGTCGAAACCGAAGGCGCGCCTGTCTCGGAGGCGATAAAATGTAGAACGCAAAGCGACGGGCAGGTGCAAAGCGTTGGAAACACTTGCCTTTTTTGTGCATAGCGTTGCATTGTCAGCGCAGCGTGATAAACGCTATGGTCCCTAGAATTACGTATGTATGCTTTCTCTAGTATAAAGAGACCCATACAAAATATCGACGTATGGTTATGGTGCATCGGATATGCGCAATAATAGCTTTTTTGAATTACAATCGCACAAGTATGAACGCTGAAACTTGAGCAGTATTGGTGTAGGTGCTGCGGATAGGGTTGGATTTTAGCCGTTTGGGGGCCATTGTTTCGTTGGACAAACGGACAAATGTGCAGACGGACCAAAATTTTTGCGTCGAAGTACGTCAAAAAGAGACTATATCGTCTTTTAATAACTCGCCCGAGTTCCCGCTGCCTGACAATGAGGCCAGCACGCGGCGCCGTAGCCGACGACGCTTTTCAGCCGTTCAACGTAATTCCCCTGAAGCGTCTGCGCATGCGCGAATCTGCTGCCGGTACGAGATATCCCCCAAAGTGTGAAACAGATTGTACGTGTTTTTTTTTTTAATAAAAGTCGGTCTGTATGCGCTGGTCCTCGGGAAGTTTTTTCTGTTCGTGTGGTGCTCGCAATTGTTTTTTTCCACTAGCTACCTCACCATAGCTACCTTGTTCAACCCCCCCTACACAT